ACTCCATCCACACCGCCCCCTTTCACACTGCTTCTCCACCACAATTTGGTTTTTTCCCTAACGAATTGTGTGTGAACTTATGTGTGCACTTTATGATGACGTGGTTGTAACTAGCTTACATCTAGACCAATTTAAGTCATTGAGGTTAGGCAATTTGTCGACGGACAACACTAACCCGATAGGCAGGGCATCGGATCAGGAACGGCACACAATACAGGTGGCTTTGCGCTAAGTTCCAAGGAAATTAGGGTTCAGAGTAAGGGTTTGGTTAGGCTTAGGAGTAGGGCTAGTACTAAGGATTAGGGTTAATGTTAAGGTCTGCGATAGAATTCGTTTTAGGCCCAGGCATTGGAAATGTTTACTCTTCGTGGACTGTTTATCCTGAGTATCTATCGTATCGTTTGTATATTACATTTCCTTATCATGCACGGGATGGGTGTATGCGTGACACCCGTAGATTAGCTGTTTAGCTTTGTCAGTGACTGTGCCCGACTCAACTTCTAAATCTTCCTGATCTAGTCTTGACACCGGACTGGGGTAGAGGAGGGAGGTGAGACTGCCGTATATGCCACTAATACTGTGCTACTAGTACTATAAACTAAGTTACGCGAACTTCACCATACCTGCGTCCCCCATACTACGGAACTTACGGCTGAAATTGTGACGATCAAACTGTCCAAATACCTTTCACCTATTCAACGAAAATAGCATCTCGGAACTCCCTCCACCACGCAGAAATCCGTATTCAGTGGCTGAATTTTCACATTTGAAACTAGGTTGCTTTCCCTAGGCTATCTTACTTGTGTCTCTGTTCTTCTCTACCCCACAGGATTGTGATCCCGGTCTGTTGGTTGAACTGGTTTTGAAGCTGAAACTCCAGGTCTTCTCGCCTGGAGACTACATTTGTCGTAAAGGCGATATAGGGAAAGAAATGTATATTGTAAAAAGGGGCAAAATCAGCGTTGTTGGAGACGATGGAAAGACTGTTTTTGTCACCCTTGGTGAAGGCAGCGTGTTCGGCGAAATTTCCATTCTCAACATTGCCGGTAAGCTCATAGTTCAGTCCAGTTTATCACTAATTAATGTAAAAACGGTTCATGCACGACTAACTTGTCGATCTCCCAACCTTCTGGTCAGTTCAGTGTTAATCTTAAACTACCACCGAAACGGGTAATGAGATATCCTCCTACCCCCGAACCATTAAAATGGTGTGGTGCGGGTGGGCCCTTTCTTCTGTTTTCCAAAGAAAGCGACCAAAATCGCACCAGCATACCCGTCAGTTATCAATCATCTCTAAAGTTCACATAAATGGATGCTTGACAACCAAACCACTTCTTCGCTTATCTCTTTACAGTATCGTTATAAGCTTCGAACAGAGAGGTTAGGGAAATACATGCAGGATTCTCGTGAGTGCAGAAAAATTTCTTTTCCACGACCATGAACGGATTACTCAAGCACGAAGATATTGGTGCGAGGGACTTCTAAAGCATCCCTACTATCCTCGTGGTCATTTGCTTTGTGAATGATCAGTTTGGCATTCTATTCTATTCTTTTTCCACCTTATAGGTAACAAAACGGGGAACCGAAGAACAGCTAATGTGCGGTCTGTCGGTTACTCGGACCTTTTCGTTCTAAGCAAAGATGATCTTTGGGAGGCACTCACAGAATACCCTGAGGCAAAGGATACCCTTATGCAAGTGGGCCAGGAAATGCTGCGTAAAGACAATTTGCTAGATGAGGAGGCCCTAAAAGCTGCAGAGGAGACTAGGGAATCGATTGAAGACAAGGTGCAAAGACTTGAAGCAACCTTAAACACATTGAGCACCAAATTTGCTCGTCTATTAGGCGAATATGGTTCGAGCCAGGCCAAAGTCAAACGTCGTCTCACAAGACTGGAAAGACTGGGAGAGAGTCTTGAGCTCGGTGACTCTACAACGCATAGTGTCAGCATTAAGGGCCCTCCAGTCTTGGAAGTGTCAAAAGTTACTTCAGAATGAAAACAGTTAAAAATAACCGGTACTTCACAACAAAAGAAAACTTTGGTTTCTGAAATTAAAATAAAAACGCACCTGTTTTCGCCTTATATGATCATGTAATTTACTGATGACGTACGTTTTTTATCCAGAAAGGCAATTAACTGCACCTTCGGGACACGTTTAGGCACTCTTCCAAAGCATCATAGTTAGTTAATATGCGAAAAAATTCGAGGTCCAGATACAATATTCCTTTCATCATCCCCGGAAGAGGAAAGGAACATAGTTAGTCGATGACTGCAGCGTTTTTAATCTAGGTACATTCTGATTATTTTAACTTTGTATGTTTCCCTCTGACTTATTGAAAGATGCAAAGTAAGCCTTCATGAATCCACTTAAACTAAATTAAGAACAAAAAGAGTACTTTGCTTACATAGTTGCACTTGAACAAGGCAAAGGTGACAAATAAGTTTGAGTAAATGACGACTTATGCAATTGCGTAGGGCCAGGGAATTCGAAGATTATTAAATCATGCTTAGTTTGTCGCCTCTGCCTCATTCCAATTTATGCTGGAGAGATAGTGCCTCAGTATATGCGCAAATTACCTTCAAATATACTGCACATTAAACTTAATTCGATCTCAGCACTTGAAGAAAAAAGCGGGGGTCAGATGTGAATCAAGTACATTTGTTCTTAAGCAAAATAAGCGTTAAACTCAAAATCCTTTCTCCGAGAAAACTGGCAGTTGGAGAAGGCAGAGGAGTGAGATATAAATGAAAAGGCGCGAAACCTATGTGTATAAGTCGCACTTCCGCAGCACGTCGGAGGCTACAATGGTGAATTTTCGGAATATCGTTTATACAAAAGATTTTATAAGAACCTATTACAAAATGGCAAGGTAACATTGGAAGAGTTGTAACTGGTGGGGTGGAGGGGAGAGAGGTGGGCTTCATGTGTCCTCCATGGCGTGAACGGCATGATGCAATATGTGTGCGAGTTTGAGTTTCCAGAGTGCTTTAGGACAGGGACCGTTGGCCCGTGGGGACGGTCCGCAGCTGGGCTCCTGAGTTACCATGACAACCAGTCGCTCAATAATAGCCGCTTCGTCTTGGAAATTCCGCAGTCGAAGATAGAAGACAAAACGTGAACAAGTTTTCAGAAGCGTCCCAACGGGCTGAAATGAGGGAATTCACTTAAGGCCATCGCCAGATGACGGTTACTGACATTGAAGGCAACCATTTAGCTTAGATTTTCGTTTGATCTACTAAGTCCTTTGAATCGTAGAAGCAGCAGCCTCAAACATATGCAACTTACAACAAAAAAAAACAACACGAACCTTTGATAAGTGACTGAAAAAGTCGTTGTCTTTTTCACGTTCGCAACTGCAGTACAAATTTGGGACATCCTCCTCTCGAACCGCCGGTATCTTTAACATGCGAGAAAAATGCTCTTTGTCAGATATGCTTGTTGCCCTCATGCCTTTGTTCAAGTGAAAGGAGACCAGTTATGTCAGAAGAAAATAAGCTATTCTTACAGGAAACCAGGGTCAAAAATAACATTTGAATTTGGCAGGAGCCGACTCGCGGGAAATGCTTGTAGCCGTTAGCAGGTAAAAGGAATCCCTTGGGTACATTGTACGCGACCCATCTTTTGAGCAGATGCCAGGACTCAAACACAAACAACCCCACTGCAGGGGGGCCCCAGAGATTTCGCTGTGCCTTGCCGCTCTCGACTACAAGTACACGTGCTGCCTTTTAAGACAGCCTGTAGGCAGTACAAACGAAAGCTTTACTACCGAGCTTCAGCAGGGAAACTGAAGTTGATCCCATGTACGTATGGTTACAACTTCACTCTCGGGACTGGCGACAGTTACTTCTGGACAAGGCGGTAACAATGCCGTTCCCTGGCTTTATTCACAATGAGGCTAGTTTCTGAAGGAAACTCTGGGGGTAGGGCCGTGGGCGGACTCTAGAGGGTGCCTCCGATTTGTAATTTGACTCCCAGCACGCCGCTCCATAGACCACTGTTGAGCAGCCTTCTTGATCAAAAGCCTCCTTTAATACTGTCATATCCGATACTTTGGCGGCGACGGAAGACCTCAAATGCTTAGCGGAATGTCCAATTTTGAAACCAAAACAACCTTGCACGGGAAAAATAACTGACTAGGACAACTCCGACGGAGCAGTGGTGTCAAGTATGCTTACCTTTAAGCTGGAAAACCAATCAGAAAGTAGTTTGACAGGCGTCACGGGATTTCGTATTTCTCTGCACATGCGATTCCATAAGCGGTCGTTGGTATTAAGCCTAGTCTAAAATTGGAAAATGAGTAAGTAGAAAAGTCCAGGGAACTAAGAACTAAGTAGCAATATGGAGTGTTAATTTTATGGAAATTTTACCATGTACTTTTTACAGAATTAATCTTTCACTTAACCTGTGTCTTTGAAAGAATTAAACAAGTAATTTGACCAAGTTATGAAATACTCGGCGGTCTGGATGGGTTTTGAACCCACGAGAGCAATGGCAAGGCTATAGTACAGCCAATGTCTCAACAGTCCACTTTCCTAGTTTTTCATATTCTGGTTAAATGATTTTTTCAAATCTGATTGAAACACATGATAATTCAGTGGGCTTTGCAGTGATCTTCTGGACTTAAAGTTGAGTACTTAGAAAATCTTGCTTTACAAGTTTACTAACTGTGTCAGAATTGATGGATTCAACACTCTTTCGTAGGTTGGGAGAGTAAACTGACTCAAATATAGTTAAACACATGACTTCTGGTGGGGGTTCTATACCTCAGGTTGTTAGAAGGTAGATGGCACTAAGAGCCCTTGTCCTTTACACCGTGGGTTCGAATCCCGCATTGACCGTCTACTTTTTTTCCTAATTGAGGTAAATGTGTTTTGCTATTAATCCGAAAATAGTCACAGCACGTCATAATACTGTTAAAAGATTTTGCTCGGACGTTTGAATGTCCTAAAGTAAGAAGCACCTGTGTCTGTAATGTACCAAAGTTAAAGACAGTAACGATATATGCTAAGGTCTTAATCACTTCACATTTTTTTAACTAGTAGAGGCTTACTGATATTAAAATCAAACAATTGCACTACGCTTTCTTCTAGACGTCTGCAGTGAAAGGGCTTAGAGCTTCGACAGTAGAAGATGCGGTTCCTCAGCTAGACAACGACGAAACCAATCCCAAAGCAATTAAATTACGATCGACTGCTGTAGTAGAATCAAATCTTGTTCAACTTTCAATAATTAATCTCTTACTTCTAAAACAGTCCATTATGTTAAGACCGCGTTTTCGTTTCCGTCGACACAATTTGCATTTTTAATTGGTTTTCTACTATACCAACCGTACTCAGCACGACCGACAAAAGACGCCAATGGTTCTTTTAAATAACAAAAGCCATCAAGGGTATGTGACTATTAGGTTTTGCTTAATCCTTCGCGGATAATTAGTTCTTTCTCAATCGGTGAAGCATGTAGTAGAACGCGGTGTAGTTGAAAAAGTTCATGCTTTTCAATTGCCATTCGGAAGCAACCCATGGGTGCAAACAGAGAAATATATCCTATTTCTTTACTTCCTCCACTGTTTGCAAAAACAAAAACTTGGTGACCTGGATCACAAGAAAAAGCATAAAGCAAGGTTATCAGTGCTCTGATCTTTAATAAGTCTGACACATTCTATTTTCTTTCGGTATAAAAGTCCTAAAAAGCTATGATTTCATAGATCGCATGCCTAGGCCTTAATTCTACGTAAATTTCTTCCACATAATAGGCAAAAAATGAAATTTTAAAGGAAATTTCAAACGCAGAGACTGATAATTGTTAGGAACAAACGATAACATTTATGTTGCTCCTTACCTTCCATAGTTCCACGACTTCCAAAACTTCTTTGGACACCGTCGGATTCAGAAAGGCATCCAAAATGGCTTTCTTACGCGCAGGAATCTCACGCACTATTAGGAGAAATAGCAAAATAACCAAAGCCAACCTGCCTTTGTAGAGTGGGATCACCATTCTTGGTGGCATAAAGTCAGCTGTAAGGGACTCGTCATCTGACTGGAGACTAGAAGGAGGCAACACCGGTGTGGTAAGGATAAAAATCAAAGGATTTGTGAATGCATGCTTGTAATAAGCATTACGCAAAGAAAACCTTTTCAAGCAGGTCACGTTTGAGTGGAGCGTGGTAAAGGTAGCTAGTTTTTTTATTATTTTGAAAACCATGTTGGAACTGATTTTGATAAAGCATCTTGCTAAACAAATTTTAAGACCGGCTGCAACTGATATTTAAAAAAATATTATGCGTGAGCGGGTGATACTATAAAGTGAACACTAATAAGCGATAAACCACCACTCAAATATTTCCTTGAAAAACCCAGCTCCACGCTCGCACTTACGTCATACGAGGCGCAAAAGATCAAATAGAATGTCACGCATTAGTTAGGGAAATCGAAGAACGAGAAGGGAAGCCGTTGTTTGAGTTAATGGACACTTCATACAAGTCTGCGGGGCAGTCACTGCACCATAAAAAGCGGGTTACTTACTACCGGAAAATGTTCAAAACAAGGAGAGCAACTTCCCCTAGTATTCCATCAATGTTCGTTTCGCGCTTCCTCCTGTTCACGCCAATTCTCAGCTATCTTTTTGCAGTCTGTGTGAAGTTCCAGCTTAAGTAGAACAATCAATGGATACAAGGCCATTGATACAATGTCATACGCATTAACTTTGGTGGATATCGTAAAAGTGCGTCACGCTTTTGCGCAAACAATACGAATTTCTATGCATATTCACGGAACATCGCTTTCCGGCCTTCATTTACAATATATTTTATGATCGGTTGAACCAAATATATGGTGACAATAATTCTGTGCATGAAATAATTACTATGCTTTCTCTGACTACTGTCTCAGTACACAAAAGGCGGTAACAAATAAAATTAGAAAGTTATTCCAAAGTGGCCCCCAAACAGATATGTAGGAATGGAGACCATGTTTAGAGTTTTGGTAAGCGGTTTATTAGTTTCTAAAGTTAAGAGGCTCATACTAACGAGCGAGATTACAACGAAAACATTATTTTTAACCAAAGGCTATCTACCTTCTAACACTCTTTATTCAAGGTATCGTGAACTTAGCACATTATTCACTGAGTCCAAAAGGAGTCATTTGCATAGCGCAACATAAAGAACTGACATGGCAGACGATATTAGAAGTCAGTTGCATTAAGATATCACG